CCAGCCACACCCACCCACACACGCACACACACACACACACACCAGCATGGAACACAAGAGCACAGTGCAGCAAACATACATCCAAGACACAAATAACAATAAAGGTCCACACTGTTCACGAACCCCGAGTCCCCGGAACCGGGTCCGTGACAATATCAGGCTCTTGTAGAGCAAAATTTAGTATGTTGGTCTAGACAACCCAAAATGTGATGTCCACATATATGGATGCCAGGTCCTAGGAGGTTAATATAAAAGTGAAAACTAAAAATCATGTAGTTTAGATTGCTTTGCCTTGAAAGCTTAAAATAACTGATTAAACGTGTGGACGGTGTGTTTGGCAGGTGCGAGAGAGGCTTCGGGTGGCTCTGGAGAGGGTTGCCACCCTGGAGGGGCAGCTAGCAACTACCACGCAAGAGGTGAGCAATGCGTATCTATGTGCAGAGTTTTTATGTGTGTGTGTGTCTATGTGTGTCGTTGATGGTAAGTAAAACATCTGCTCAATCCCTAGTTGACATCTGGTAATGCCTCGAGTGTGATCGGATATACAATTTGCGTATCACGCTGTGTGAGAGTCTTCTCAATCCTCTGTTCATATACATAAAACATCTATGTATAGATGTGTGAAACATAGGGCTCAGGGGCAAAAATCGTCCTCGCAAAGACTCCAATTCGGCCCAATTAGGCTTTGGGAAAGGTGAAGGAGCGCATAGATTTAGAACTTTTAACTCTATTTTAATACGTTTCCAGCCTTTCCTATTGATAAAGACCTCCCCCGTTGTTTTTCACTACCTACTATACAAATATCTACTGAAAAATTTGTCCTCAGCAAACAGATCTTTTAATGTACTTTTACACATTTATCATGTAGACAAACTGAGACATGTCGTTGAAATTGGACTTATTTTCCTCATTAATTCTTATCGGGGATTAAATGTGTAGCTAAATGTCTTTACACCGATGTAAAATGGGTTTGACATTCCTGATTTATACATTAAAAGGTAAACAAAGAACAAATTCTTAATTTGATTCAAAATCAAACCTTGTTACTGTAAATTGCACTGATCAAAGAGTCTTATTTGACTAAAGCGAATCCTCCTTCGCACCTCTTTTCTTTTTTTTTTTGAGCATTATTCATATTTGCAGATATGTAAAACATGAGAGATCTTGTTGTCTGGCAGCCATGCTTCCCTTTGGGAGGCTGGGTTCTGTTCTTGGATCGACTAAGTGACAAGAAAAGTAAGTACGTTTATTCAGTGTTCTTTTTTTGGTCTTTTTAATCTACATTGCAGTTGAACATGGTGAGACAGAGGAAGGATGGTGACTCAGTGGAGCGAACAGATGGATCCAAACCTACATGGAAGGTCTTCCTGGCTGTGTGATTGTTTTTGTGCTATGTGTTTTATTTTGTGCCTGCTGATAGTATTTGTCTGCCCGTCTGCTTTTGTATCTCCTTTCTGTCTTCCTCCTACACAGTGACCCACACATATCTATACACAAAGGAGCATAAATCTTCCTTTACCTTTCTGATTGGGTTGCTAACTCTTGCCCTTCATTCAAGCCTGGTTTGAGGCTGGGGCTGAAACAAACACGTGTGACTGTGAGTGGATCAGATAGAAAAACCAAAGATTTACATCTAAAAAGAAATGTATCAACTTTTTATTAAGAAAAAACAAAAGCATGGAGGATAGGCAGTGGGGGAGGAAAGAAGAGAGAACTGGCTAGAGTGTGGCCATTAGTAGGGTGAGTGCCGTTTAGATGTCACAGAGTGTGAAGTGTGCAAACACACACTCTGTTAGGACATTTATCGATGACACCCGCTGCACTGCTGACAGCCACTGCCCTGCAGTGTTTTGCCACAAGTTCCCACTCCCAACTCATTACATGCAGATGCTTTGTCAGGAACCATTTCTTGCTACACAAGGGGTACCCCCATGAGAGCATTTTCCATTGCACAGGACCACCTATAGTGTCAATTTTCCACATGAGGAAGAACAAAAGCCAAACCAGAAAAGTTTGTCTGCCTGGTACAGTTTTTTTTTCATTTCTATGCCTTTTTTCAGAATCAGAATCAGAATCAGAATCAGAAT